CAGGTGCTGTCTGTTAGGAGCATCTGCACACAAGAGCCAAGGGAAGGGAGTTCAATAATCATAAAAGAGATCACAGGAGCCAGGGGTGGTGGTCCACACCTGTAATCCCAACAACTGGAGAGGTTGAGGCAGCAGGATCACAAATTTAAGCCCAGCCAGAACAACTTAGCACCTTAGCAAGACTCTGTCTCAAAATAAAAACTGAGTATGGGCTGGAGATGTAGCTCAGTGAGAAAGTCCTAGATTCAGTCCCCAATAACACACATGCATAGGCACGCACGTGTGTGCACAAACACACAAACAAGCATCTGAGCAGGGCCCTGATAGTGCCCAATGCATGTGCCTTCTCCATCTCAGGAAATGGCATTGTCATCCTGCTGGTTGCTCATTAGCAGTACTTTCAAAATATACCCAGAACCAATTAATCAACCAATCTCTCCCTCTTCTTCTCCCTCCCTCTCTCTTTCTCTCATAATTTTAAAACATTGTGGTAAAATACACATAAAATTTGCTATTCTAACCATTTTTATTTTGGTACTGGGATTGAACCCAGGGCCATATGCGTGCTAGGCAAGCACTCCACTACTAAGCTACATCCCCAGCCCTTTTATAAAATTTCATATTGAAATAGGGTCTTGCTAAATTGTTCATGCTGGCCTCGAACCTGCCATCCTCCTACCACTGCCCAGTGAATAAGCAGGATTACAACTGTGCACCACCATGCCTGGTGTCCCTAGCCATTACTAAGTATAAAGTTTGGTGGCATTAATGACCTTCATGTTGTCATGGTACTGTGCCAGCGACCATCCACAGAACACTTTCATCTTGCAAAAGTGAAACTGTATCTATTAATCATTTTGCTTATTTATTCATCTGTTGATGGACATTTGAGTTGCTCCTACATTTCAGCCACTATGAATAATGCTGTTATAGCCCGGCCTGGTACCATAAACTTGTGTCTCTACACTCGGGATGCTGAGGCAGGAGAATTGCCGCAATTTCAAGGATGGCCTAGGCTACATAGTGAATTCAAGACCAGCCTGCTGAAGATAATGAGACCCTGTATAAAAAAAAAAAGACAAATAATGCTGCTATGAGTGTGGGTTTATAAAAATCCCTGCTTTCATTTCTCTTAGGTATACAGGCAGAAGTAGAATTGCTGGATCATATGATGACCCTATCATTTTATTATTTATTTTAATTGACACAAAGTAAATGTACATATTTATAGGGTGGAGTGTCATGATTCTGTATGTGTATACAGTGTGTGGTAATTCTATTTTAAACTTTCTTACGAACCACAGTACAGTTTGACATAACTGATGCACCATTTACATTCTCAGCAACAATGCACAAGGATTCCAGTTTCTCCACACCCTCATCCACACTTGTTATTTTCTGTTTGTTTGGTTTTTTTTAATCTGATCATTTCTTGCCCTCCTCACAAGGACCAACTCAAACCAAGCTATTCCATTTTCACATGAATGATTACGACAGAGTGCAGCAGACCTGCCCACTTCTGCTCTGGTTCCCTGAAATCTGTTCTCAACACCACTTCTCCACTCAAACTCCACAGTGGCTTCCTTCCTCCCACTCAAAGTACAAGGCAAGGTTCTAACAATAGCCTATGAGGTGCTACAACCTTTGTTCCCCACCCTCCCAAACTCTGAGTCATTTCCTACTTGCTCACTACTCGAATCACAGGCATTTTTTGCAGTTCCTTATAATCCGTTGTCCCAGGCCTCTGCCATGTTCTCTCTGCTGGAAACCTGTCCTGCGAGTTCTTAGCTGTAACTTGTTCCATCACTTCTTGGGGTCTCTGGTAGTGAGATCTCTGGGCTTTCTTGGTCCTTCCCCACACTCATCCAGGATAGCCAGGTAGCAGGAGAGTGCAGCTCTGTGTCAAGCGTTTGCCTGGCCTGCACAAGGGTCTGGGTGTGATCCCCAGCATTACAGAAGAAAATTCTGTGTTCTGAGCCTGGGGAGAATGACCCCACAGCATCTGTTATCTCCACTTTCTTGCCTTCAAGCTCGTGGGTGGTTTGGTGGATGCACATAAGGAGATGAAAAGCAGGAGAGAGATGCTTGGTATTGTTTCCCTGCACCCTCCCTGGATGGCCAGTACTGAACTACAGCTGCATCGGAGGGGAGTGCTTCAGCTTCTGTGCACCCATCCTAGGACTTCCAATGACAGCATTTCCTCTCTTCACCTTTCAGTCTCAAAGTAGCAATGCCTTTCCACTGTTGCTGGTCTTTGGTGCCTCAACATCCCCATTGGCTCCCTGAACTCTGCTGTTTTTCTAGTCCTCCCATGAAGACTTGAACCATGGGTGAGATCCTGTTCCTATGAGACCAATTTCCAACCTTACCTCCTGTTGGTGAACCTGCACTTTCCCTTCTGCCTTTGTTCTTTCAAATAGACATAAAAACCTCTAACGCGTTGCATATTTACTATACTCATTCTTACTTTGTTCTACCCTCCACTTAGGGAAGGCAAGTCCAAGAGTGGAGGGATGTTTGTTTTGTTCACCATTATGTCCCCTGTGCTTGGCACCTGGCAGGCTGTGTGCGAATTTAACTGAAATTCACTCAGTTAAATGAATGAATGAGTGAACGACTAACTAGGGAAGCTACAGAGGAGCCAGGGCTGGGGATCAACTCGCAGGCAGAAGAGCAGACTCCCCATTTCTCCCTCCTCTCTCTGCCCTGCCGCCTGGCGTGCTGAGTGCCCAGGAAGGAGGTGGAGGCGGAAATGAGCGCGCTGCACAGCTCTCCCGCCGGGTGTTTACTTAATTAGGGCCTGTATCCCGAGGCTCATTTGTGTTTAACTGTCCGCTTAATGGCTTCGTCTGGCTCCGGGTCGGCGCGGGAGATCCTGCGAGGCGAGGATAGGCCGGCCCCCTGTCCCGCCTGGGCCTGTGCCATTCTGCAGCGCCTGCGCACGGGCATCAACCTCCCCTTGGGCATGGGACCCCACCTCTCACCCAGCAGGACTGCGAGGCGAGGGGGGCACGGAGCTCTGCATCTGCTTCTGGCTGTGCTCGGCATGGTCCACCTCCCACCCCCCACCCCCACTCCCTACCCCGCTTCTGGGGCCATAAGGGCTGCAGGATAAAGATTGCTCCCAAGACAGGAGACACGGGATGCCAATTCCTGGCTTTAGCCTCAGCTGTGAAATTGAAGGATTCCGACCCTTCCCATTCTCTTACTTGAGGGATTGGGGCTGCTAGACAGGTGAGAATCACTGGTGAGGTGGGGAAAGCCAAATGAGCCTGATCCTAGAGCAATAATACCAGGCAACACAAAAAGGAAAAAGAAAAAAAGAAAATACCACACTGAAGCAGGGCCCGGGGTTTAGCTCGGTGGTTCCGCTGCCTGCCTCGAAAGTACAAGAACCCGAGTTTGGTCCCCAGTACCAAAAAAGAAAAAGAGGGAAAAAAAGCAAATACCAGGCAACATTGGGCCCTTGCTGTGTGCCAGGTACTGAATTTAGTGTTTTTAAACGTGTTAACTTGTTTAATCTCCCCTACACGTATTAATTCATTTAATCCTAGTGTAGTAGTTCGGAGGATGTGTCATTAATAGCACCACTGACCACTGGAGAACTGAGGTCTCAGCATTAGTAAGCGGTGGACACTGGGTGTGAAGCCAGGAGGTTCAGGGCCCAGAGCTGGTGCTTGCAGCCTGGGCAACTTAGCCACTTAGCAAGATCCTGTATCAAAAGAAAAACTTACAAAAAAAAAAAAAAGGAGGGTAATTGGGACTTACCTCAGTGCAAAGGCCCTGGGTTCTATCTCCAGTACTGCAAAAACAAAAACTGAAAAACTCCAGTCCTCCTTCAAACCCTTAAATGTGCTGGGGAGAGGAAGGAGCATCCTGGGGTTCTTAAGGCAGCAGAGGAAGGAGGGTCGGGCTCAGGGAACCAGGGCCCGGGACTGGTTCGGAAAGCTCAGCTTGGTGGGGAAAAGGAATGTGGGATGAGAGACTGAGCCTCATGACGTTCTGTGCCCAGGGCCCACTTGTGTGCCTCGAAAAGGAAAGCGAAGTCTTAACGGAGTGGAAAGAGTGACTATCTATCTCCCAGGAAGGGTGAGGGGAGCTGTCTTCAAAAGCAGAATCACGGGGCTGGGGATTTAGCTCAGTGGTTCCGCCGCCTGCCTTGCAAGTGCAAGGTTCCAAGTTCAATCCCCGGTACAAAAAAAAAAA